CTCTCTCCCTAGGTTTGGGGAATTGGACACAATGATCAAACTGAACGTTAATGCAGCCTTTTTTTGCCAGAGCCTCAGAGACTGCCAGAATCGGAGAGTTTAAGGGGAGAGAAGAAGGGCCTGAGTGTGGCTATGTGGTGGTTTGTGAGTGGTGAGGCTCCAGCAGGCGTGGGACTTATGATTTCTCCAGACACCCAAATTCAATCCTTGCTTCCAAGTCCCCCTGTAAACATTTCACAAATCCTACCACCAGGAGGTGCTGTCATCCCACCGCTGTGCAGGCTCTCCAAAGAGGCCCGGAACTCAGGATGGCCAATTCTTTCACCTCAGGATCTTTTCTTCATAAAGTGTGCCTGGAAAATATCATAGCTTTACAACCTTTTATAATCAACAAGTTTTAAAATTGTAAAGATGGAAAGGACTAAATGAAAAAATGCAGGACATAAAGATGGATTTCTGATGTTGAAAAAAAAAGGTCATTTTCACAATGGGTTTGCCGCCAGAACCCAGGTGTTAGGCAAACCACCCCTAAATCAAAGCCAAACCGAGAAAGGAAAAGACTCACATCAATATTGTCATTATTGGACGTGTAGATTCAGGTAAGTCCACTACTACTGGCCGACAGATCTACAAACGTGGTATAATCTACAAAAGAACCATCGATGAATTTGAGAAGGAGGCTGCTAATAAGAGAAAGAGCTCCTTCAGGTATGCTTGGGTGTCAAATAAATGGTGAGATGAATGTGAGTGTGACACATCACCCTGTGGAAGTTTGAGACCAGCAAGTACTGCATGAGTCGTTGATGCTCAGGACAGAGACTTTATCAGAAACACGGTCACAAGCACATCTCAGACTGACTGTGCTGTCCTGATTGTTGCTGCTGGTGTTGGTGAATCTGAAGCTGCTATCTCCATGGGCAGACCTGTGAACATGCCCTTTTTTTTGCTTACACACTAGGGATGAAACAACCAATTGTTGGTGTTAACAAAATGAATTCTACCCAGCCACTCTACAGCCAGAAGAGACATGAGAAAAATCATTAAGAAAGTCAACTCTTACATGAAGAAAATTGGCTACAACCCCAGCACAGCAGCATCTGTGCCAGCTTCCAGTTGAACAGCGACAGCATGCTACAGCCAAGTAGTAGCATGCCTTGGTTCAAGGGATGTAAAGTCACCCATGAAGATCGCAATGCCAATGGATCTATGCTGCTTGAAGGCCTGGACTGTGTCCTACCACCAACTCATCCAACTCACAAGCCCTTGCACCTGCCCCTCCAGATGTCTACAAATTTGCTGGTATTGGTCCCTATGTGCTAAGTGGAAACTAGTGTTCTCAAACCCAGCATGGTGGTCACCTTTGCTCCAGTCAACATTACAACTAAAGTCTGTTGAAATGCACCATGACGCAAGCTCTTCCTGGGGAAAATGTGGACTTCAGTGTTAAGAACACATCTGTCAAATATTTTTGTCATGGCAACATTGCTGGTAACAGCAAAAATGACCCACCATTGGGAGCAGCTGGCTTCACTTCTCAAGTGATCATCTTGCACCACCCAGCCCAAATCAGAGCTAGCTATGCCTCTCTGCTGCTTGTCACACAGGTCGCATTGCTTCCGAGTTTGCTGAGCTGAAGGAAAAGATTGATTGCCATTCTGGTAAGAAGCTTGCCCTAAATTCTTGAAATCTGGTGATGCTGCCATCATCAACGTGGTTCCTGGCAAGCCCATGTGTGTTGAAAGCTCCTCTGACTATCCTCCTCTGGGTCATGTTGCTGTCTGTGATAGAAGACACACAGTCGCTGTGGGTGTCATCAAAGCAGTGAACAAGAAGGCTGCTGACGAGAAGACTTGGCATCAAGTCTGCCCCGAAAGCTCAGAAGACTAAGTGAATATTTTCCTTCATACTTGCCACCACAGTCTTAGTCAGTGGTAGAAGAACAACCTCAGAACTCTTTGTCTCATTTGGCCATTTAAACTTAATAGTTAAAGACTGGTTAATGTTAACAATGCACCCTAAAACCTTCAGAAGGAAAGGAGAATGTTTTGTGGACCATTTGGGATTTTTTTTTCATGCAGCAGTTTTAACTTATTAGGTTGTTTTTTTGTTTGTTTGTTTGTTGAGATGGGGTCTCACTCTGTCACCCAGGCTGGAGTGCAATGGTGCAATCTCAGCTCACTGCAATCTTTGCCTCTCAGGTTTAAGTGATTCTCCCACTGCAGCCTCCCGAGTAGCTGGGATTACAGGTGTGTGCCTGGCTAAGTTATTAGTTTCTAAAATCAGTGCTTTTTAATGGAAACAACTTGCCCAAAAATATGCCGCAGAATTTTGTGACCCTCCAAAGCAAAGTTTAATATGAAAAAAAAAGTACTGAAAAGAACAGTCTTGGCCAGGCACGGTGGCTCACCACTGTAATCCCATCACTATGGGAGGCTAAGGTGGGTGGATCACCTGAGGTCGGGAGTTTGAGACCAGCCTGGCCAACATAGAGAAACCCTGTCTCTACTAAAAATACAAAATTAATCAGGCATGGTAATCCCAGCTATTCGGGAGGCTAAGACAGGAGAATTGCTTGAACCTGGGAGGTGGAAGTTGTGGTGAGCCAAGATAGCACCATTGTTCCAGCCTGGGCAACAAGAGCAAAACTCTATCTCAAAAAAAAGAAGAGTCTTATACAGCTATACAAAAGGTGTGTTATCATCTCAGTGAATTCTCACAACTGTGATGTGGTTCTTAATCTGTTATATATATTTTTTTAAAAAGCTGAAGCTGGCAGAGCATGGTGGCTCACACCTGTAATCACTGCACTTTGGGAGGCCAAGGTGAGAGGACTGAGCTCAGGAGTTTGAGACTAGCCTGGGCAATACAGTGAGACCTCCATGTCTATTTAACAAAAAAAGAGAGAGAGAAAAAGAAAGAAACTGATACTAGAGGAGGTGAGTAACTTGCATGAGGAATACATAGTTAGTAAGGGGAATGCTTGGGTTCAAACCGGGTTCATCTGAATCCAAAATACCAGCTCTTTCCACTAGACTAAGACTGCTTAAATTAAGTAAAGTAATGACAATACTAGCATTTATTGAGTACTTACTATATGCTAAGCACTGATCTGAGCACTTTACTCATACCAACTCACGTAGCCCTCACAATAACCCTATGATATAATAGATAATGTAACTCCCATTTTGCAGCCTAAGTATGCAAGTCACACAGCTAGCAAGCTGCAAGTACCTGTGCTCTTATGGAAAGACAAATCAATGCTATGAACAATATTTTATTTTGAAATCAAGAGTAAAATGTTCATTTCTTCCTTTTCCATGAAGGTTATCATAAAGATCTAAAAATAATAACATCAACATTAATTCAGTAAGTAGCTGAGAGTTTCTTATTAAGGCTCTGAAAGGGTGAGGAAACGAAGAGACCAATTTAGGGCTCTAAGAATGTGAAGAGTCATAATAATCCATAAGACTTTACCCAATTTACTCATCTTTTTCTTAAAATAGTATACTTCACCTTTATTCTTCAAGGCACAATGCCCTTTATTTTTATTTTTTGAGATGGAGTTTTGCTCTTGTTGCCCAGGCTGGAGTGTAATGGCATGATCTCGGCCCACTGCAACCTCCGCCTCCCAGGTTCAAGCAATTCTTCATCCAGCCTCAGCCTCTTGAGTAGCTGGGATTACAGGTGCCCATCACGACGCCCAGCTAATTTTTGTATTTTAGTAGAGACGTAGTTTTGCCATGTTGGCCAGGCTGGTCTTGAACTCCTGACTTCAGGTGATCTGCCCACCTTGGCCTCCCAAAGTGATGGGATTGTAGGTGTGAGCCACCACGCCCAGCCACAATGCCGTTTATATTGCAATAAACTCTTTCTCTATATAATAAAATATAAATACATTGCAGTTTCTCCTAATTCACAGTTTATGTAAAATATGTATTAAGGCAACAGACTATTTCCTTTTGAAGACAAGCAGGCTCTTCCCTTAAGCCATATGACAGATGTGTAGTTTACATGGCTTCAGATGGCCACTACACTTGACAAGTCTTCTGTCAAAAGTCAAAACGGTTTCTCTAACAACAGTAGCTAGGATAAAGCTGTGAACATTTGTGAAATTCTTTATTTTTTCATTTATTTATTTATTTGAAACGGAATTTTGCTCTTGTTGCCCAGGCTGGAGTGCAATGGTGCGATCTCACCTCACTGTAACCTCCGCCTCCCAGGTTCAAGCAATTCTCCTGCCTGAGCCTCATGAGTAGCTGGGATTACACGCATGCACCACCACGCCCGGCTAATTTTTTGTATTTTTAGTAGAGACGGGGTTTCTCTGTGTTGGTCAGGCTGGTCTCAAACTCCTGACCTCAGGTGATCTGCCTGCCTCAGCCTCCCAAAGTGCTGGGATTACAGGCGTGAGCTACCGCCCCTGGAGGCACATCTGTGAAATTCTACTCCGGGAGAGTCTTCTTTTTTCTGTCCCCATCATAGTTGGTCAATTTGTCCACCTTCTTGGTCAGCTAACAAAAATTGTTCTGCCACTCAGTAGTTTTGTGACCTGGGAGAAAATAACTTAGCCTCTCGTTGCCTTTGCTTTCTGATTTGTGAAAGAGAACCAGAGGTTTCTATGGGGAATAAATGAGTGAATATGTGTGAAGTGATTAGAACAGGGTCTGGCACATAGGGTGTACTTGATAAAAAATTGTAAGTTTTGGAGTATTTAAATTGTTTGTGCAAGCATTTTCTTGTGAAGCTTGTTTTGAATGGAAAGTAGTGCATCAGAAACATTGTTATGGTAACTTTCTTTTTTTTCTTTTTTAGAGATGGGATTTCTCCACGTTGGTCAGGCTGATCTCGAACTCCTGACCTCAGGTGATCCACCCACCTTGGCCTCCCAAAGTGCTGGAATTACAGGCGTGAGCCACCGTGCCCAGCCTATGGTAACTTTCTATTCAAGGGAATTACACACTTTTTACAAGTGTTTCATTTGTCCCCCATACCACCAACAGGGATTATCTGAATGATGAAGCCTTATGGAACAAGTGCCAACAGCCTCTCAATGTGGTTCCCTGGAATCTGACCCTCTTCTCCATCCTGCTGGTCGTAGGAGGAATCCAGATGGTTCTCTGTGCCATCCAGGTGGTTAATGGCCTCCTGGGGACCCTCTGTGGAGACTGCCAGTGTTGCGGCTGCTGTGGGGTAAGTTAAGGCCTTTGCTGTTTCTTCTTAGCATGAGGGAGGCCAGGTCAGGCCACCAGCACTGAGGGAATGAGGAGGTAAGAAAACCAGCCCAGGTTAGGAAGTCCACTCAGCCCAGTCTGTCAGCTCATGGAGACAGAGACATTGCATTACTGGAACCCAGAGCAGGTTAAAACACCCAGGCTGAAGTTGGCCATAATTTTCAGCCTCACATCCAGTTGACCATAGTTCTGGAGACAAAGGATTCTGTCTATATATGAACATTTACAATGATGTTTATATGAAGATGCACCTGAAGTGAGCATTTGTCATATGGGTACAGTGTCAGCAACATCATGGTCTGACCTGGCATGTTCTCACTTCCTCAGATGCACAGAACATACCAATGCAAAACCTAGATTTGATATGATTTCTGATACAGATAAAAAGGTAGTTCTTATATGGGAAGAAGAAAACGAATCACTCAGGCTTTAGTCTCTAAATAGTATTGTAAAATACCGACAACAAAATACTAAAAAACAGACTCGCAGACTGTAAGACAGTCTGATTATTTCAACTAACACCCAAATCAAATTAGGCAATTGTTCACACACATACACAAAGTTATTAAAAGCACAGATTGGGGCCAGGTGCAGTGGCTTACACCTGTAATCCCAGCACTTTGGGAGGCTGAGGTGGGTGGACCACGAGGTCAAGAGATCAAGACCATCCTGGTCAACACAGTGAAACCCTGTCTCTACTAAAAATACAAAAATTAGCTGGGCGTGGTGGCACGCACCTGTAGTCCCAGCTACTCCGGAGGCTGAAGCAGGAGAATCTCTTAAACCCAGGAGGCAGAGGTTGCATTGAACTGAGATCATGCCACTGCATTCCAGCCTGGTGACAGAGCAAGACTCCATCTCAAAAATAAATAAATAAATAAATAAAAATTTAAAAATAAATAAAAGCACAGATTGATGAGGAAAAAAATAAAACTTGAGAGTTCCCTAATAGGGAGATTATGTAAATATATGTAAATAAAGGTCTATTCACGTAACATAATATTATGGTAAAACTTTAAATGACTCAAATTATTTTATTTAAATTTTAAATAAGGACAGGCATGGTGGCATATGCCTGTAGTCCCAGCTACTCAGGAGGCTGAGGCACAAGAATGACTTGAACCTGGAAGGTGGAGGTTGCAATGAGCCGAGATTGCACTACTGCACCCTAGCCTGGGCAACAGAGTGAGACCCTGTCTTAATAAATAAGTAAATAAATTTTAAACAAACATTACATGTATATAACTCAAAAAACTAAATGTGTGCATGTGTACGCACACAGAGAAATATATAAAGGTATTCCGTTGGAAAGCCTTCCTCCGGCCTTTGTCTTCTATCCACCCAGTTCCCTCCAGTCTCCTCACCTAGGTAAGGTTACATAATTTCTTATATAACCTGTCATAGTATCTCTTTTTATTATTTTATTAGTCTTAAAAGAATGTTTCACCCAAAACTGTGGTAATATTGAAAATCCTTAAATAACAAAACCTAAATCCTTTTGTTATTTAGCAGGATACAAAAATTGTACAAAATATACAATTATATAAGTAGAAGAAAATAAAATTGTGTGAATAGAAAAAAAAAAAAAACTAAAGGAAATTCAACCAAAAGTTAATCATTTCTAAGTAAGAAGACTGACTTTTTCCCTTTAATCAGTCTACAGAATAAAATAAATTTAATAATTATCTATTACTTTATAAAAATGGAAAATACAAATAAGTCCCCCAAATCAGCAGTAAAATGCATGTATCACAAATAAATTTCACTGTGTATTGCATTTTGGGTGCATTTTATTCTACAAATTTTCATTTCTATTGTATTGGACTTAAATGTTTTGGTCTTTAAACATTCCTACAACTAGTAATCCACCAAAGTTATTTTATGATAGCAGTTGAGAATACTGAGCATATAAATCTTGTAATTCATCCAGAATGAATTAATGTTTGTTGAATTATAAATTGAAGTTTCATTTCCTATATAGTTTAACTGGATGGTAAATTTCCTTTGCAAGATTTATTGAAAATATTACTTTGGCCGGGCGCAGTGGTCACACCTGTAATCCCAGCACTTTGGGAGGCCAACGCAGGAGAATCACTTGAGCCCAAGAGTTCAAGACCAGCCATGAACTGGTCTTGACCATGACAACATGGCAAAACCCTATCTGTACCAAAAATACAAAAAATTAACCAGATGTGCTGATATGCGCCTGTAGTCCCAACTACTCAGGAGGCTGAGCTAGGAGCATCACCTGAGCCCAGGATGCCGAGGCTGCATGAGCTGAGATCTTGTCATTGCACTGCACCCTGGATAACAGAACAAGACCATTCCAAAAAAAAAAAAAAAAGAAGTTGGAAGAAAGAAAAGAAAAAGAAAATATGATTGCTCTGTGAGTTGTTAATACTCTGCTAAATCTGAGAATTATCTCTCAATTTAAAAACACACTCATAAGTGTCAGTACATTGATTCCTTTTAGTGAGTTTCATTTATTTGGAGATCTTAATGGCTGAGTCACTTGATAGTTGGAAGACAGTAGGTGGACTCCATGGTTGTTAGTGTGTGGGCACCAGAGACTCACAGAGGATGAATATGCACCACCAGAATTGCCTATTTTTTTCCTTCCTTTCTTCCTCCCTCCCTTCATCTCTCCTCTGTCTCTCTTCCCCCTCCTCCTCCAACGTTTTATTTTGAAAACTTCATATCCGTATAAAGTTGAAGTAATGGTGCAATGAACACCTGTACACTTTCACCTGTGTTCCCAAAACTTAATATTTGCTCAACCTCTGTCTTTCTGGACTTCTGGAAAGTAATTTTTGGACATGACGAAATTTCACTACTAAATATTTCAGTGCACAAGAGCTGCAGTTTTAAAGTCAGTCTGCTGAAGATTCCTTTCTCGTGGGCAGCTGGCCTCTCATGGGGCTGGTCAGCATTCCTGCCCCAGTAGGACACTGCAGAAAGACTTGGGCTCTCAGCCGAGTTCCACAGCTTACTAGCTGAGTGACCCCAGCAAGCTGACTAACTTCTAATAGCCTCAGTTATTCCAACTGCCTCTTGCCTAATTTATGGAAAGATTGTAAGATCAACATCTATCCGTTTAGGCAGAAAGAATTTACTGAGAACCTTCTGAGCCTGGCACAGTCCTTAAATGAAGTGATAGTTGGGAATGCGCCTTAAAATACATGCTATGAGACCTGATTTGAATGTCAGCTGTGTGGTCTTGGCCCAGTCAGTTGCCCTCAACTGTTCCTTGTCTATAAAATGTGGCTATTAATACTTAACCTACTCCTACGGTTGCCAATGGAATGCCTAGTACAAGGTAAGAAGCATGAATTTATTTGAACACTTAGAAGGCTCAGTAAATGGCAATGAATGCTATTTACTACCTTATGAAAGTCAGTGAGGTAGCATAGCTTCAAGTTTCCTTGAACACAGTCTCTGGGTTCAGCCTCCCTGGTTCAAATCCCAGCTCTCCTATTTGTTAGCGGTGGCTTTCCACATGGCACTTGGTCTCTCAGCACCTATTACCAAAATTATTTTTTAAAATAAATGATGCATATTATACACAATGTGTTCTCCTCAGGTGATGGGTGCACTGCAATCTCAGAATTCATCAGTACCTCATTCATCCATGGAACCAAAAATCACTTGTACCCCAAAAGCTATTGAAATTTAAAAAAATTAAAAAACAAAATAAAACAAAAATAAATAAATAAAATGTAACCTTTTGGAGGACTAAATAAATAAATAAATGATGCTGGCTGGGTGCAGTGGCTCACGCCTGTAATCCCAGCACTTTGGGAGGCCGAGTTGGGCGGATCACAAGATCAGGGGTTCAAGACCAGCCTGGCCAATAAGGTGAAACCCCATCTCTACTAAAAATGCAAAAATTAGTTGGGCGTGGTAGCAGGCACCTGCAGTCCCAGCTGCTCTGGAGGCTTAGGCAGGAGAATCGCTTGAACCCAGGAGGCAGAGGTTGCAGTGAGCCAAGATCACACCACTGCACTCCAGCCTGGGTGATAGAGCGAGGCTTCATCTCAAAATGAATAAATAAATAAATAAATATAAATAAATAAATGATGCCAAGCAAAATGAAGCTTCCATTTCTATAACCTCAACACAGGTAAGTGACAGATTAAAGCTCTGAAACAAAGCCAGAAAAAGTATAGAAAACATTCAATAGGCAACCAATAAGGGCAGGAGGAAGGCAGGTGATGGGAATGGGAAGAAGGAGGGAAAAAGCAAGCATTTACATAAATAATGACATCATAATTAATTCACCTTTTCTACCTTCTAGGGAGATGGACCTGTTTAAACCTCTGAGATGAGCTGCTCAAACTCTACAGCATGATGACTACAATTTCTTTCCATAAAACTTATTCTTCTCTTCTTGGGATTGTTAATTCCTATCTGCTTCCTAGCTGACAGAGCTTAGAAAAGGCAGTTATTCCTTCTTTCCAACCAGCTTTGCTTGAAGAATTTTGTTATTTTCAAATAAAAAATAGTTTGGTCATTTAACAAATTTGATTTATAAATCCTTCAAATTAGTTTCTTTTTAGAATTTACAAACAGGTTGAAAGCAAACTTTTCATGATTTTTTTTTTTTTTTTTTTTTTTTTTTTTTTTTTTTTTGAGACAGTGTCTTGTTCTGTCTCCAGGCTGGAGTGCAGAGGCACAGTCTCAGCTCACTGCAACCTCTATCTCCCAGGTTCAAGTGATTCCCCTGACTCAGCCTCCTGAGTAGCTGGGACTATAGGCAAGCACCACCACACCGAGCTAATTTTTTTGTATTTTAGTAGAGACGGGGTTTCACCATGGCCAGGATGGTCTCGATCTCCTGACCTTGCGATCCGCCCGCCTTGGCCTCCCAATGTGCTGGGATTACAGGTGTGAACCACTGCACCCGGCCTCATAATTTTTTTTTTATTGCTAATGTAAAATGTATAAAGCCACATGTACTGCCATACTGCTTCTTTGTATATAAAGATGTTTATATCTTTGGAAGTTTTACATAAATCAAAGGAGGAAAGCCCATTTAAAATGAGAAACTAAGACCAATTTTTGTTTTTAAGATGTATAAGGAAAAAAGAATTATTGATGTATCATAAGTATTTATTGGTTGCCTTTTTTGCTGACTTGTTTGAGTTGTTTGTGACTAGTCTTTTGAGGCTGTCATCATTGGCTAGGGTTCCCTTATGAGTATTAAATTAAAATCTGAATTCAGAGGTAATGTAAAAAAGATTGTGTGTGTTTTAGGAGGGAGGGGCAAAAGGTTAAATGAATAACAACTCATCTTTTCTACAAATGCTTCCTTCAATCAAACAAAAAAAAGTTTTAAAAAAATTGATTTGAGTAATAATCTTGTCAGCCTGTTTCCCAGGGTTAAGGTAATAAGTATTATTATTCTGTGTATCATATTAAGACTAACTGGTTTTATGAGTCACACACTAATAGGACATCAGATCCATTCTGTTGATTTGTGTTCAAACCCCAGCTCCACCACAAACCAGTTTAGGGGTTCTGAAACAGTTATTTACAAAGTCTCAGTTTCCCCATCTGTAAAAGGACACTTGACAGACGATCAGTTATACAGAAAATTTTGAAGTCACCAAGGGTGAAGCAAAGGCCCATGAGGCTGTCAACATGACTGTGTGCAGTAAGAAGGGTATCAGGGAATTCCAAGCAAGAAAGTCTCCCTTTTGCCCCTGCCAAGCTAATAGACTGCACCATGTAGGTCAGGCACACTGAAAACTGGGTTTGTCAAAGCCATCAATAAAATAATTAACCATCACCTACTGTGTGCTGGCCCCCGGGGGACTAGGCACTGAAAATACAAAGAGTTACATGCTATAGTTTTGCCCTGACTACAATGAGAACTCTGAGATCAGTGATTGTGTCTGACACCTGAAACTTAATAGGCAGAGACAAGAAAGGCAGATAAACACTGAAGATCTCGTTGCAGGAGCTAAACACACACACACACACACACACACACACACACACACACACACACACACACACAGTGTTTAGATTCAGTTTAGTCTATTTGCTTTCAAACATGAGTGATCATCAAAATTACCTAGGAAATGTTCAGGAATTACAGATTCCTGAGCCACAGCCTAGACCCACTGCACTGCAAATCTGGGCATGAGATGTGGAAGTCTGTTTTTTGTCAACCTTTTCTTTTCTTTTCTTTCCTTTTGTTTTCTTGTCTTTTCTTTTTTTGAGACAAAGTCTTGCTCTGTCTCCCAGGCTGGCAGCCATCTCGGCTCACTGCCATCTCCGCCTCCTGGGCTCAAGTGATTCTCATGCCTCAGCCTCCCAAGTAGCTGGGATTACAGGCACCCACCACCACGTCTGGCTAATTTTTGTATTTTTAGTAGAGACAGGGTTTCACCACATTGGTCAGGCTGGTCTCAAACTCCTGATCTCTCAGGCAGTCTGCCCTCCTCAGCCTCCCAAAGTGCTGGGATTACAGGTGTGAGGCACCGCACCTTGCCAGTCATTTCATTATTTAAAGCTCACCAGGTGATGTCGAAAAACAGCCACTTTGAGAAACCATTGCCTTAGATCACCACCTGCGGGCACAAGGATGAAGATTTGAGTCAGACCCCATTACCGCTCACCAGGAGCTCACACCTCACTGGTAAATACAAGGTATACATGCTAAATACTAAACGGTGACCCAGGTAATGATGTTCTGAGGTAATGATGTTCCAAAAGTTCAGAGGTGTCGGGCTATTAGGACTGAGTCACTTGCCTGAGTTCTTTGATGAGAGAATTTGAAAGTGGCTAAGAGGCATCAATTCTTTATTCAGGGGTTTACAGGGATTCATTATTTTAGATAAAAAGAAATTGTAGTCATCATAAAATCTGCTCTCATTATTTTATAGATGAAGAACTGAAATAACCTTTGGCAAGTTTTCACAAAAGGCCATTTTTCAAAACCAGTTACCATAAAATTAGAGGAAATTGCTTACCATGGATAAGAGAACTTAAAAGAAGAGACAGAAACAAAGGGTAAAGATGAGTGCACCTCTCCCTTAGAGACCTCCCTCCATATGCACACACATACCCCAAGGTTGGTCTTCAGGCTGTCCAGAAACCTCTGATACATGAGTTGCCAACTTCAGTTTGCTTAATGGAGTACATTTCTTTATTCTTCTGTGCTTTGGCCTGCAAGTTATTTGAAGCAAGAAAAGGATCTGATTCAAGTCTATACCCTTAGTGCCTAACCTAGCACATATTAGGCAATTCATAAATTTGTTGTGTGAATGGAGGTGCCCAGAGCCCTTAATTTTCTTTCTCCTGCACTTCTTTCTGAGGTAGCATCCTTTGCCCTGAAATAAACTGAAGATTTCAAAAATGAATAGACAAGTCCAGGTTCAGTAGCTCACACCAGTAATCCCAGCACTTTGGGAGGCCAAAGCAAGAGAATCCCTTGAGCCTAGAGTTCGGGACCAGCATAGGCAACATAGTAAGACCCTGTCTCTACAAACAATAGAAAAATTTGCCAGAAGTGGTGACACATGACTCTAGTCTCAACTACTTGGGAGGCTGAGGCAAGTGGATTCATTGAGCCTGGCAGGTAGAGGCCGTGATCATGCCACTGCACTCTCAGCCTGAGTGACAGGCTAAAACAATAAACATAAAAAACTAATTTAAGACTGGGCACAGTGGCTCACACCTATAAACCCAACACTTTGGGAGGTCAAGGGTGCAGATCACTTGAGGTCAGGAGTTCAAGATCAGCCTGGCCAACATGGTGAAATCCCATCACTACTAAAAATACAAAAATTAACCGGGTGTGGTGGTGGGTGCCTGTAGTCCCAGCTACTCAGGAGGCTGAGCGGGGAGAATCGCTTGAACCTGGGAGGCAGAGATTACAGTAAGCTAAAACTATACCACTGTACTCCAGCTTGGGAAATAGAACAAAATTCCATCTCAAAAAACTAATAATAATAATAATTTTTTAAAAGAGTTGACAAAACAAGTAGGAAAGTGGATGTCTATGTTAAAATTAAACATGAGGCTGGAGTGATCTCAGTACATAGATCCATGAGCATAAAAATTTAAATTATATTTTCTATAACCGCATTTGCTTTCTAGCTCTGAATACCATTGTACCAGGCTTTACCTTGGGCCATTCTTGGGATTTTCCACCCAGCCTCAGCATTCTACTGGGCTGATGGGCACAGGGCCAACAATCCACTTGAATAGAAAAAAGGAAAAAGAGAAACACTACAGGACAAAACCTAAATTACTATCTCAAAATATCACCCAGCTACATGTACATGATATGCTGATGGACCTGAACTATTAGTGATGATGGAAAAAAGGGATGAAAAGAATTTGTGGATCATACTCAAACACACCAGCCACATGTACAGTTGTCGGCAAAAAGCCGTTATAACAAAGTGCTGAGCAAAGTTAACGTGAGTGACATCCAGCTTCTCCTCTCCCTGTTCAAACCCGGAGTGTCTGCCCAAGAACTGAGGTCAGCTCTGCTCTGAGCAGATTAAGGAAGACACAGAGGCTCTGGAGGATCTCCAGATGAGGTAAAAAACCAAGGATCAAATAGAGCATTCCAAGACAGACACACGGTTCTTTAATCTACAGAGAACCAGGAGGCAGCAGGATGTAGCTGAAGGATTCTGGTTTGATTCATAAAAAAGAAATCAAAGCGCATGCAGTACATTCCAATTGAGTCACCAAGACATGGAATAACTGTCTTGGCACTCAACTCTTGAAATGCAGGAAAGAGACTTCTAGGACATACCATAATTTATTCCCAGTCTAAGCATCCAAAGGTGATTTAGAGAAAAAATAAAGAAAATTAAAGAAAAGAATAGGTCTAGTGTTTAGAACAATTAATGAGTGAGGGCCACTGACATTGGCCCCAGGGAGGGAAATATCTACCTTTCTATAAAATTACTTCGTCCTGTGTTAGAAACATTAATAGTGTGACGTTGGCTTTAACCCAATGTATCAGCCAGGGTTCAATCAGAGATCAAATAGCTATGTGTAGACACACACACACACACACACACACACACACACACACACACACACATTTGCTACAGAGATTTGACCTTACATTATTCTTGGAACTAAGCAATCTCTGTAAGATAGTCGTCTTCATGTCTGATGCTAGAGCTTAAAGGACATGGAGCAGGCAATTAACAAGACAGTCAGACTTGGATGTAAAGCCTGAAGGAGAAAAATCTGTAACCCACAAGCATGAACTGGAGCCATGAGGATGGACTGGAACCCTGTTAATTCTTGTTGCCTCTGACAGTATGGGTGCCCTGCAGCAACTGGAGCCCTTTGTCACAGAGCTAAAGACACATTACCAGCTGGGCATGGTGGCTCACACCTGTAATCCTAGCACTTTGAGAGGCCAAGGTGGATGGATCAAGAGGTCAGGAGTTCAAGACCAGCCTTGCCAATATGGTGAAACCCCCGTCTTTACTAAAAAAATACAAAAAATTAGCTGGGCATGGTGGCATATGCCTGTA